ACATAATGACATCATAGGTAGCATGCTTAATAAAAAAATATAATATAATTCTAAATATTTCTATACCAAGATAGAGCCTCAAAATAAAGAAAACAAAACCGAGTGTAAAAGAAAAATCAGATTTATCACTGAAATCGTCAACAATTCGGTTTTAGAAAATGATATAAAACCAGACAAAGTTAAGAAAGACGTGATATCTGGACAATAGTGTATCTTTAGAACACAAATGAAACATGAAGAAAATTCCACTCAACAACCATTGGATTTTTAAAGTATTAAGTTACCAGTGAAACACATGTTCTATGCTATAAAAGTGTCTTTGAAAATTAACTAAATTAAATATAGCAGATTAAAAAAAGAAACAAATTAGATTTGCTAACTAGAAAGATAACAGAAAGAGATTAAAAATATGGACATTAGTAGCAAAAATGCATCGCCATAAATATAAACAAAAAATAATGTATTAAACTTTGTAGACCTGAGCTGAATCTCAGGTCAAAAATGTATAATGACCAATGGGATGAGTATCAAAGAATGTAGGTCCTCAACAAGCTAAGTTTGCACTATAGGAAACTATAGGAAAAAGGACCAGGGCATACCTAAACCATGAAGGAAGACATAATAATAACAGGATTATATAGAATTAAAAATAACAGTGAGGTAGTAGAGAAAATACATGAAATAAACTTGATTTTTAAAAAGTCAATATACGTGATTACATTTGACAAGAGTGAGATAGAAGCAGAGAGAGAGATGGCATGTGTCGACACAAGACATGACAAAAGGGTCATTCTGGGCTCTCAGCACTCAACAAGGCCACATGAAGCACTCTGAGTGCATCATGCCAGTAGGAGCTTGACAACCTTGAAGTAATAAGTCAAGTTTCAAAAGCTGCAAGTAATAAAAGACAAAGAGGATGCAATCATCTGATAATAGATGATTGGAATAAATTCATTGTACGTACATACAGATAGTGAATAATTTTAAAATTCCAGAAATGGAAATTTCCACTCTAATATGAGTTTACTGAAGAATTCAACCAAATATTTCAAGAACTGACACTAATGTCATAGCAAATTTGGAAAATAGAGGGAGAATTAATGGTTTTCAGCTTATAGGAAGCCAGTGTTATCCAGACACCCAAACCAGACAGTGAGAGTACAAAATGAGCAGATATTGAACATCTTATGAGCTTAGACAGAAAAATCTTCAAAAAATATTAACAATTAGTAAAGATATTTAGTCACTGTGAACTACTACTGGAGTTTTCCTCAGAAATTTGATGCTGGATCAGCACTGTAAAATCAATCTGTGTAATGGATCATATCAGTGGGCTGCAGGAGAAAATCATGTCTTATCAATTTATACAGAAAAGCTCTAACAAAGTTAACTAATTAAGAATAAGGGAAGATCTAAAAAGATAAATAAGATAAGATAAAATGAAGAACAAATAGAACAAATCAAATGGATCTAGGAGGAGTTGGGGGATGGGAGAAGATATAAACAAGACATTGTATGAAAAAAATCTGTTTTGAAATATTTAGTTGAGACTAAAAGAGCTCACTGAAGTTGATTGAGGACGTCTATTAAAAAAAAAAAAAGAGCCTCAGCTTTTTCACTGAAAAGACTGAAGCTTTAGCCGGAAACTTTGGAAACAAGGTAAGGATACCCTTCCTCATCATTTATAGTCAGCATAGTCGCTGTAACATAGTCAGAAAATAAAATTAAAAAGTACAAAAGAGGGAATAAATAACACTAGATGACTTTATGCTTACACAACAAATCAGAGGAAATATACCCCAAATCCACAGAGTAAGTGAGATTACTGTGACTACAGGATGTAAGGAAAGCATGGACAATGAACACAATGGACATTAACATTCTCTTCCATTTACCACATAGTCAAAATTCAACAGATTAGTATTCTGGAAAGTACAAATTGCTGATGAAAGAAGCAAAAAAAAATAACCTAAATAAATTTCCAGAGACACTATGATTATGAATTTGAAGGCTGCATGGAGTGAAGATGATGACTCTCCATAAAAATCCCCAAAGCATGTCTTATAGATGAGTCTTTAAAATGTTTATGTAAGGCATCAGGCACAGCATTTCTAAGACACTCCTGAAAGAGCAGCCCAAAGTAAAAGAAATTAGTTTTTGTATACTGTCTTAGATATTATTGATAGAAGGAAAATCACAAAAGATCTCACAATGTAGATACCCAAAATAAACATTCATGAATACCTTCAACTGATATTATTATTAGTAGTTACTGTTATTTATTGAGATAAAGTCTAATGTAGATGAACCTGACCTGGAGCTTCCTATGTAACCAAGAATAAGCTTGATCTTGTGGTCCTTAGTCTCCACCTCTTAAATGCTAGAAGGCACTAATACACACAGTTTATACAGTGTGGGGATTGAGCCTCGGGTTCTGGGACTTGAAAGAAAAGTGCTCTACCTGTTGCTCTACAACCCCAGCTTCGCTGATTTCTGAGAAAGTACAAAAGCCAGCTGCCTTAGTTTGAATGTGGCCCCCATCATGTTTCTGAGATGGAAGTCCTCCCAACGAGGGTATGCTGACAAATGGGGCCTAGGGGAAATGTTGGGGCTGTGTGTCATATTCCTCATGAAAAGATCAGCCGCCTGTTCACAGAATGTTAGCTATCAGGTGAGCCCAGGCCCGTTCTTCCCTGTAATTTTTACTCTGTCTCTTTTGCTTTCCACCAAGATTTTAAGCAGCATAAGCTCATCACTGGGGCCATGTTTTTGGACTTTCCATTCTACACAACCAAAACCAGAACAACCAGAAAAAAACAAAATCTTTTTTCTCTATAAATGATACAGTCAGGAGTATTATGCCACAGCAAAGAAAACAGAGTAGAACAAACCATAATGAAAACGTACACATTTTAAACACATGGTGCTGGATCAACTGGGTTGAATACAAAAGGAAAATTACTTTGGAGATTATTACAGCATTATCTTACTTCCATCATCCACTCACTAGGCACTGATTAACGCGTGTTAAAACTTCGGGTAACAAATTTGTTGCTGCATTGAATTTTGCATATTGATGTTAATTAATGTTTTATTTTCAGTGAAGATATTTAATTTATAAAATTGTTAACTTCAAAATCTTTTAAAGTTTTTATTTAATTTTTAAAACCTTTTATTGATTTTTTGTGAGTTTCACATCATGAGCCCCTCAAATCAAATACACACACACACACATACACACACACAAAAAAAACAAACAAAACAAAAAAACGACAAAAAACATCCCATTGTGGAAGTTGTAGTATGTCACAGTGTGTCCATCTGTCCATACATCTCCACTGGCAAATGTTCCCTGCAATGAGTCATTGTTTGAGTGACATTGGATCCTCACCGGGACTCCTCCCAGTGACCCTGTTGTTGCCCGGAGTCATGGAGAAGCTGCAGTTCTGAAACACCACGCATCCCAACCATTTGCAGATGATGTAGATTTTGGGTTGGGCCAACTCAGAACCCTGAGTCTGGACCTGGGTGGTAGCTGAGCTGGTCAGTGCTGTGGCTCATTCTCCGGGGTGAGCTGTCCAGCACTGCTCCTGCAATCAGCAGGAGGCCGCATCAGCTCTCCTGCTTTCATGCTCTTAGGGGCCAGCTCATCTGCACCCAATCCTCCAGAGCCAGCTCAACTATCCCTTAACCCCTGCACCATGCCTCTAGAACTAGCTCCACTCTTCTGCCCACATTCCCATTTGCTGCAGCCTGTGAGGGACAAGGAGATCTCCTGCTCTCACCCCCTTGGGTCTGGCTCACTTGCGCTTTTGCCATCAGGGGAAGCTCCACCGTGTGACCCTGGAGAGGTGCAGGACCTACTCTCTCGAGTGCTAAAGCTGGTGAGGGGCAGGGCCAGATCTCCCAATTGCCACAGGTGTCTAGGAGTGAAGGAGAATAGGCATCACCCATCCCCCCATCCACATAACCTCACAGCTGACAAGTGGCAGGGCCAGATCTCCTATTCTAGCACCCTCCGGCTAGCTGACCATCACCCTCTCAAGGGTCAGCTCTGCCGTGCTGTCCAGGTGAGACGGTCTCCTGAGTGTTGCTGCTGATGAGGGGCAAGGAGAGCTCTGCAGCCCTTATGACTCCCTGGGCAGCTTTCCCGACTGCTGGAGTCCTCTCTCCCACTCTCATACCCTCTGGGCTGACATAACCGCACCCTGTCCCCACCAGGACCAGCTCCACTGTGCTGCTTGGGTGAAGCACAGGAGCCCACTTTCCTGAGTGCTGCCACCAGTGTAAAGTATAAGGTGGTGCCAAATCTCCAGTGCTCTGCAGCCAGTGAGGGGCGGGGTCCAGGACAGCTCCTGGACACTCACCTGATCCCGGGCAGCTGCCCTGACCAGGGTGGTGCCATTGTTCTCGAGTGGTAATATGAGTCACAGACCTCAACACCAACCTCTTCTGCTGAGTAGGCACTGATCAGACATGCCCATCAGTGGTAACTCGGGCTGGGACCTAACCATAGCCCCGGCGGACAGGGCTCACCACTCACAACAGGATACTCCTTTCCAGTCCCGTCTCTCTTCATGATGTTTAAGCTGTTCTACTTCTTTTTCTCTACCATCCGTCCACCACATACTTGCACATTGTGGTGGCTTCTGCTGCTTGCTGGCCACACAGCTGGTGGGAACCCCTGGGTGACATTCTCTACCTGAACTGCACTGCGTGGCTGCGAATAGGTGTGTATGGCCTGCCTATACCATGCGCAGGAGGGTAGGTGTCTGGGCGACATGGCAGTCTGTCTGCAGGTTTCCGGCTGTCTTTTTCCTAGATGGGTTGTGTAGGTGGGATCTCTGTGGGCCTCTGGGCTGTCTGTGCCATAAGGTAGAGGGCAGGTCTGTCAGCGTCATTCCTTGTCTGATCTGGGTGGCTTGGCGGAATGCAGGCCTCTGTCTGCCTTCCTTCTCCCATGCTGCACTGCCTGGATTTGATTTGATTTGGTCTGGTTTCCACGTGCTGTAGGCATGAAACAGTTTTGACCTCCAAGTCAGGCGTCAAGCTAGGATGAACAAGAGACTGCCATCTGCCCTGCCCCTGACTGATAAAAGAACACCACCACCAAGGTGTCTCTTTGCCCATTGCCGGAGTGGAGGTGGGGGAGATTAAAAAGTCTTAAAGACCATGAAGGCATGAATAAAGTAACTTAAAAAATATTGTGAGAATTTAGATTGGCTTCACCAGAAGGCCACTGGCTGTGTTACAATGTTGTATCCAACTGGCTGAAGCGTACTTGGAGCTTAAGCTACATAGCTTCTACTGCTATGAGAATGCTAGATGGTAAAGAGCTAAATTTAGATGTCCACATTTGGGTAATTTAAATCTTAGCCTATTTTTATATGGGGATTTGCTATAATCTTGCTCCTGGGATTCCTTGGAGTCCCTCAGTTTCCTAGGTATTCTTTCTCTCTTTGTGGCAACTTTGTATTGTCTTCTCTGTGCCACTTGAATGACCACTGCACCAATCATTTTAGACTGATCCAAGGTCTCCACAGTGTTCCTTTTTCCAATCAGTGTTCAGAACATCCCACTCCAGTGCTTAATGTACCTGCCTTTCACATCTGCAGTGAGCTGTGTAGACTGTTCCAAAGTACTAAGAACTGGAACATAGCAAATCTGTGAATACTTATAGAATAACTTGAGTTTGAAATCCCTGTTTCAGAATGTTGCTGAACCTGCTGATTGTTTTCACAGAGCCTAGGGAAGTCTTTCAGCCTTGTCAATATGATTGAAGACAGCAAAAAGAAGTTAAGTCCTATTGAAAATTTCCTGCTATGCTCTAGGACAGGAGCCAGATGCTCAACCTGGGCTAGCAGACAGAAATTAATCATTTGTTTTGAATAGTTTTTAAGAAATGAGTATTGGGTAATAATACAACTATAATTCATTCATTCATTCACATTATCCTCTCCATAATTCTGTTTTTATAGTCTAATTCTAAAGATCCCTTGCAAGTTTAAAGGCAAAACATTGTTAGGCTACCAGCCACATATTAATAAAATGTCCTTTGGAAAATAATTTATTCCTTAATAACATAAGAAACTGCTTTCATATATGCCAAATCAGAGATGGAGTAGTATATATTATATATTATATATTATATATTATATATTATATATTATATATTCTCTATAAAGTGCTAATAAAGTTCAGGGCAATCAAGAGAATAAAAATAATGACCTCAGTCCCTCCCACATTAGTTCTGTTCAAGATACACAAAATTTCAGCTATTTTGTATGTGAGTATGTGTGTGTGTAAGTTTGTGATCTGTCAGATTTTAAATTGTTACAGAGTTTGGATAATACTTTTTCATTCTTTTGTCAGTTCAACAATTTTGATTGCATTGATAAAGTGAAACCATCGGCCCACACTGAGTCGTTAAAAATGGCTTCCCTGATGTGATGAATTTTCAGTCGAGCTACACACTCTCAGATATTTTGATCAGTGGCACAGGGATCGTCACACAGTTATGTGCACGTTGTCTTTTTGTATTCATCATGAAACCCTGCAGTTAAGCCACGTGTGGAGCTCATGAGCTGTGGAGGTTGTAATCTGGAGGGGGCTTAATTATCAGAGCATTCTAGTGAAGAGGCTAACTAAACACCTCCTAATCTAGTCATAGCTAGTCTCAAAACAAAGTTGACAAGTAACTTGCTAATTCCCAGTTGTTTATGCTAATGCTTAATACTATAGCTAGGGTAGGAGTATTCATAGGGTTATAGCAACAGCAAATACGTATATTTATAAAGTTAACAAGAATAAAAATAAATTATCCTTCTAGCTTCTATTAAGCTCATGTTTTTTAAAATCTGCAGACACTTTTCCCAATAAAGATGAATCAAAACAGTGTGTTTTTTTGTTTTTTTGCCTAACTATGCCTAAGGTACACTCTAAGCAATTATATATTTTCTTTTGAATGTGTACATGAATATCATTTAAATAGAACGCAAAGATATACAGTTTCTTGTATCTGCCATAGAATTGCAGACTTATATCTCAATAGCCACCTATGCACAATTTTTGGATTCTCATGAAGAATGAGAAATTACAGAAGTCTGAACAATGGCTTCCTAAAGAAGGCAGATCCTACTGGCTTCAGAGTAATGGTAGCCATATGTCCATACTAGAAATACGTTAGGTGGCAGTTGATTGAAAATGGAAAAACAGGATAAATATATAAACTCACTATTTGAAACAAATGTCACACATGGTTTCCAAATGGATTTTTCATAGACCATGAAATCATATAAAAGCTGCTTCCAAACCAATTGAAATTATTATTTGAGCTCAGATGCCAGCTCAACAGATTATAGTCTGAAAAAAATAATTAGTTTGTATCTTAATTCTTTACTTTTTGGAACTGATAATTGTGGTTCAGGATTTTAACAAATGAAAACACAAAATATAAAAAAGTCAAACAATTCTCTTACTATTATTTCACTTGAAAGAGACAAAATCCTCTTTCAGTGTCTCAGTCCCTTTGCAATTGTAATGTCCTCATGTGAAAGAATTAAAAGCAAATAAACACCAGTAACAGTGCTATGTGTTAAGTCACTGAATACATTATCAGTACTATCATTCCAAAGCTGTGAAATTATACATTGATTAAGAGATCAACTGCTGCGTTGGAAAATTGCTTGCCATCACCTTACCTTTTTGTTCGATTTGTGTGTGTACATACGTGTGAGAGGGTAATGTTGGGGTGAGGTGAGAACTGGGTAATGTCTCTAACTGTTCTGATAGCAGGGCTATCTGGTTTGCAGGGTGAGCTAAGTGCCAGCTCTAGGCTTTTCATTTGGAAGGTAGTGGAAAGGCCAGAAGAAGGACTCAGAAAGTCATTCACTCCCGCTAAAATGGAAGGAAATCAGTAAGGGTCATTTTTGCGCCTATTCAAAGACAATGTGTATCCAGAGGGAGGCTCACTTTTCTATGACTATGGATTTTTCAATTTTGTTTTTAAATTTAATACTTAAGGCAACACTTAAACCAACATCACAAATGGGGCATGCAATTTATATTTACCAGAAATCTCTTAGTACATTACTTCACCGTTTTATGCATGAATGGTATTTTATAGGTTTCAGAATATGGTGAAGTCATTTAGAAGATGTTTTCATTTTCTTTTCCCTAGAGTTAATATGTTTTCTTCATGTAATTTACCTTGTGTTATCCTCTTCCTAACCTTCATTCCAATTTATTGCCTATCTTTATGCATATTCTTACTTAAATGTTCCTTACAAAAGTACCCTTGGAAGAAAATTCATATACACATCTTTTAAAAGCAAAACTTTTTTTTTTTTCTGTATAAAACAGGTGGGGAGGAGGGATGGGTTAATGAGGGGAGACTGTGGGAAATAGGTTACTTGCATTTCAATGCTTTTATCTTATCTGCCTAGGATTTCTGGTATTATCTTGCAGTATTTTCATTTCTACTTTGGAATTCTTGGGTTTTGTTTTCAAAATGACATTAAATTTTAAGCACCGCTGCCAGCATTTTGTCTTCTCTTAGCATTTCGAGAAAGCTGAAAAGACATTGTTATTTGTGCTTGGCAATTTCTGACTCATTGAGCTAAAAACTGCAGTGTCAGAAAGCAATGAGAAAATGCTGAAAACGACCCCTCCCTCTTTTCATTTATTTATTTAACTTTTATTCTGGAGTCTTGAGGCCTAAAATATTTAAACAAAGCAAATACCATCTGCTATGGACTCTTGCATCACGATGACTTGCTTAGCAGTGAGAGGTTCAAATCCTGCATATTAACTCCTCCTTCTTTCATATGATTCCCTGCACTCTGCCCTGAAGATACTTGATAAAACAGGGTCAGATGAAAGGGGAGGAGGTCCTTCCCAATCAGTGGACTTGCAAAGGGGCAGGGTGGAGATGAGGGAGGGAGAGTGGGATTGGGAGGGAATAAGGGAGCGCGATATAGTGGGGATACAGAGTTAATAAAATATAACTAAAAATAAAAAGAAAAAAGAAAAAAAATCCTGCATATTAAATTGTGTCAGGTCCCTCAGAACAGCAAACTGCTGAAGCCCTCCATGAACCTCTGTAATGGGCAAACGGAACTGCACCTGGGCCTCTGCGGTAGGAAGTGAAAGTGTGACCTGGCGGAAGGGCTGAGGGGGAGCGGCAAGCAGCCCCTGCCGCCCACCGCGCTCCAGTGTCCTAACTCCCTGGACCTACCACAGGGGCTGAGCTGCACTTTTGAACTGGAGGCTAGCAAATGGAGAGTGGACAGAAGTTTGTATAAATGCCTCTTTTCATTTAGATGGACTGGACAGCTCTCTGGCTACTGCAGATTCTGACTGGTTTCATCATGCTGATCAAACCACGTTTTAATTTTGTTTGATAGAGCAGAGACCTTGGGCCAGTGCAGAGGTCACTACTAAAATGATTCTGTTGAATGAAGACCTTCTAAAGTAAGTTCCTCCTTTATCTGGAATGCTTTGAAGACCTTGTTTTCTTCTTTAGCTGCTCGTAAGATCAGCTGTTCTCATGAACTCAGCCTCATTTTTTCTCTCTGATTTATTTTGTAAGAAAGGTGTCTTTTGGATGATCAATTACTGAATACTACCTCCAAGAGTTGGCTGTGTTAGATGCCATCTCAGCTGTTTACGAATGTCATTTCTACACATCCTTTTGTACGTTATAGTGACAATTGTAGCTTACCATGATCTTGCTGTGGACTCGAATTATTCTCCAGTAATGAATATTAAATACATAGACGCCACAAGCGTGAGTGTGTGCACACGCACACATGCACACACAGATACACACACACACACACACACACACAACATCTTTTGGTAGTATATGTGTCATATACTACTATTTCAGTAAGGAATAATCTAGACTACATGACTGTCAAGGAACTCCTAGGAGAATGTGTCTCAAGTGCACTTAGCTACAACAGGGCCAATAACTGACCAATACAATACATTCTTCTGTTTCCTAGGCCTCACCTACAGCGAAAATTAAGAATCTCTGGGCTTTATAACCTCTGTAAGCTTCACTGATATTTTAAAAGCCATCTAGGGACAGCCTTCTGTGGTTTTCGTAGACCCTAGAATGTTGAAAGCATGGGAGAG